GTCGTCGCCGAAGTCGTTTATGTCTGGCCGCGGCAGTGGCCACGTGTTGGAGCGCCCCCTGAAGGGCTCCATCCCGGCGTCAAAGTCCAGGTCTATCGGCTCCATCTTCGGGAATAACGTATCCATTAAGGGACCGGTATGTCAACCAATATTATGTCCGTATTAAGTCTATTACAACACACACGTGACACACGAGTCGCGGGGCACTGTAGGTGTTGGGGGGCCGGTATGTCCGGGTATATCTCGGTTTTCCCGTATAGTCTGATGTCTCACAATTTTAAAACAAAATAAAGTATTTCCAAAAATATGCTGTCCCTCCCTGTGCTGGTTGTGGCTATCACACACACAACTACACAGCACTGAGTTATGCAATTAACAGCCAAACAGTGAGCTCAGGTAGTCGTTAGGGGGGCGCTCAGCCGTATATACACAACCATTTCGTAGCGACTTTCCGACAATTCTTGGGCTAAAATGAAACCAAAAATTATATATAAATTATATATTATATTATTATCACTATTTGTTATCATTAAGAAATTAGATTTAATTTCTACACAAAATATTTTTCTAGTTTTTAAATTAAATAATAATTTTTGTTTGAGTGGTGTGTGATGGTAGTGGTGGATGTATAGTATCTTGGTCAATTATATATAATTTAAATGTCCAGTTCATTTAGTGTGGGGAAATTATTAAAATACACATCACATGAGTATGTGTTGACTTATATAACCTTATGCTATATTCACCACAAGTCCACACAAAATGAGTATAAAATTAATATTTTATATTCACTTCATATCTGGTTATATCACAAAAATTATTATTTAATTATTATTTACTATAATTATTTTATCCAGCGGTGAATATAATCCTAAACATTAGATAGTTAACTCTTTACTATAGTAAACCTCCAAAATAATATACAAGGTATGTTTATATTTGTGAGGCAATTGGCAATACACACACAGCGTAATCACAAATATACAGTATATTCACAATATAGTTATTATTTTTTTAAAGAAATTATACTTAATTTAAAATCAAAAATCTATTATATAATTGTGGGTAATATTAGAGTAATAATAATAATAACAATAATAACATACAGTCTATGGATAGTATGTCTCAATGATGATTGTGTGGGCTTTTCATATCCATAGCAGACATTCACAGATCATATGAATGCGAAAAAGTGAAGTGAAATGCAGTGTAAAGTAGAGTTGGAGTCAGTATTAGACACACAAGCAATGGATGTACGGTTTGGCTGTAGTGATGGTTAGAGACGTCTGAACACTACTGAGCACTGGTAGGCGAGCGCCTGTGTGTATGGCATGAGTGGTGCAAAAACTTTTGCATACAGTTATCTCCAGTTCCCTCTCGGCTTTCTGCGCGCAATCGCTTTCACCAAACATTTCTCGTTTTATTTTTGCATCACATCAGCGATGGTCATAAGACTGTGCCCATGGCCTGGCTGTTCAGGGGGTGGTCGGCAGGGGCACTCGCTTGCCACCAATTTTGAGCTTGGATATTTCATCAGTGTCATTCTTGGAGTGTGTGTGTGTGTGTGTTTGGCAATTTTTTAATTGGCATTTGTTTGCATTAATGCTTTTGTATTTTATTGTTATTTAGTTATGTTGTAAAATATTTTTGTAATGAGAATAATGTATAGAATTTTAATGTTGGAGAATAACTCTCGCTTATCTATGGCACAGACTCTCTCTCTCTCTCTCTCTCTCTCTCTCTCTCTCTCTCTCTCTCTCCACTCTATCGCCACTATATATTCTCACTCAATGGTCATATAATAACTCGTAAAACGAGCGAAATGTATGTCCCCTTTTAAAAAACGCCAGGCGCTCAAAGCACAGTTGCCTTGAACTCAATACCTAATTATTCTAATAATGAAAACGAAAAGCTATTAATCAATACTTTTTCTACACATTTATTCACTGCTATTATCGATGACTTACTTATAAAATGCAGAAATATTTTTTGTGCACATATTTAATACACACTAATCTATCCGATGAATAGCAATAAATACTAACAATTTTTTACTAAAATAAAAACTAATAAAAAAGTATTATTTTTGATAACAAATATAAGGTAGTAATCATAAACACAACACACAAATAGTACTGTAATTAACGGTAATTAAAGTGTTATTAAAATTGAATTTTTTATCTCATTTTTTGTGAGTAAATGAATGAAATGAGAAATAAAATAAGGATTTCTTTTGTTGTGCGAAACACACAGAAATGTATTTATAAATAAAATTAATAAAATTTAATTACAAACAAATTATAAATAAATTACACATTTTTTATTTCTAATTATTATCCGAAATTAAATATAAATAAATATTTTTTCATCAAATAATGTAATTCATAAAATTGCGGAATAAGAGATTTTTCAATTATTTTCATACAATAAACACTCGCTATAATGAAACCCAGATTTCGTATGGCATACACGCTATTTAGTCAGAGAGCGTACACTATTTGGCAATCAATTTGTAAAATAATAGCCGTTTGTATAACAAAATATTTAATTGTATTGAGACATACATTGATACGTTCATTATAACGAGTGATTAATGCAATTATTACTAAACAATTGCTACACTTCTGGTACAATAAGTCCGGATGAGGGCAGGACATGGACTTGTGTGGCACGACTCCAGTTGTATACCTGTCCCGCGTCGAAAGCCACCAGTTTGGCCTCATTTGACTGGTCAGTAGCCACTGGAGGTGTCGGTGTGGGCGCCACGCTATTGGAACCGATATATTTGGACAGTCGTACGGTAGGATAGGGTAGAAAGCCACTGATCAATGGCATGACATCGAAAGTGATCTCATATTTGTCTTCCTGACCCTCGATGGCCACCACACCAGCAGTTTTTCCGCAAACATTCCACAGCGTCTGGTCAGACATAATCTCATACATAATCGACTTGTGGTCGACGGCTCCCAACAGTCGGCTAATCACTACATTCAGGTGACAGAGACTACCGGCCCGACAGAACTCTGTGCCGTTTTGGGGCTCTACGACCGCCCGAATGGTGTACACCGTGTGATAGTTAGGGAACCGGTAGTCACACGTAAACTGTTCCCAATTAGAGGCCAACGAGTGATCGGATAATCGATAATTGAGTCGAAATAGGACTTTATTGGCGAATAGGTTTGAATCATTGGTCACTATTTCCCATAAATAGTGAACAGTCTGTGAATAGTGTACAACGGAATCGCTTTTCGGTAACATTGGCTTCAGTTGAAGGGTGTGTCTGTCATTCTGGTCGTCCGGTAGAGTCAACTCCGGCGCCGACAACAGAACCGGTCGTTTCGACACACAATTCACCAGAATTTCGATGAACTTTCGACGATCACAGGTATGCAAGCGATGGGAGGCCAGGAATGGCGGCAACAGATGAAACTGAACGCTGATAAACTTCATGGTCTTATCGGCCGTCCCATTGGCGCCCGTACTTGTCGTCCAACTCATAGTCAGCTCGTGTTGTATAGAATTGCAGTCTTTTTGTGCGAAAAGTTTTGTTTTTATAATTAACGGAATTTCGTACGTTTGGAACGGTTTTAAGGGCACCGGCAGAGAGAACTGGAGCTCGTCGTGCAGTACCGGCGCCCCCATTACGTCCGTCTCGAGCCGTATCTGTAGGCCATGAGTCGGGCGTATAGTGAGGGGCAGTCCGGCCGGGAAACTACTGCTCCCGCAATTGAGTTGCAGTTCAATGGACTGCTCGACACCGGCCAGTATATCGCTGGTTAGGCCGTCCAGTGTCGTCAACTGCAACACTTTGAGCGTCGGTTCCTCGGCTATGACCGCGAAACACGTGTGCCGTTTCATATCGGAGCCCACGATGTTGGCACTGGCCTTCCAGTCCACCACAATCTGGTTCAACACATAAGTGCCGCTCTCTTTCGTCGAATACCGGAGCCGCAAATGGTTGAGTCCCGGCCTAATAGTCACGTCAATGGCCTTAAACGCGTGCCGAGAGTCGGCCACTACGGGCTCCCTGTCCTGCAGTATAAAGCCGTGGCTATCGCTGCGTCTTAACAGCAATTTGTTTGTATTATTACACTTCACGCCCACAGATATACTCGTGTGAAATGTCTCCACTTCTGGCGCCGGAATCACTTTCGGAATATTCTTTGCCCGTATAGTCTCCTCATTGGTGTCGTCTGTATGCGGACAGCCCTTTGAGACCGACTTATGTTTGGCTAAATTGGTGTCCGAGGGCTCAACAGTGAGTGATATGAAAATACTTGAACATTGAATCTCTTTGGGAAAGTTATTCATGAGTTTGAGGTCCAGTTCCAGCACACGATCGGTGACCGTATAGCTGTCTTCCAGAGCCAAACGGATGTCTTGAACGTCAAACAACTCGTCCATCGGAACGGCTAGTGGTCCATAAGACTCACCATTATTGGCATTACTCTCACTATTAGTGTTGTGTTTAATAGTTTTGAGCAGTTTTTCGGCCTCAAGACAGTGCTGTAGGCGCTGTTCATCACTGAGTAGACCGTTGGCCGCCAATTGACACCTGACCTTAAACTCACGGCGCGAATCTCCAGTCAATTGGTAGCACCGGAGCAGTAGAACCCGTATCTCATTGAGAAGTTGAGGCCATTTCTCCTTAACGTACACTTTCTCCAGATCTAAGAGGAATGGCATTGCTTTCTGAGGTCTTCCCAGTTTGCTGTTTAGTATTACAAGGCATCAAACGTGAGATAACTGTCCCAATCATCAAAAGGTTGTGCTAAGGCTTACATATAGAGTTCGGACAACTCTTTGCCAATAAATCGGGCGAATCTCATGCGTCCGATGTGTTTATAGGTACCCATTGTTAGCTCCGATATCTCTAAATAGTGTTTGAGGAACGCCTCCTGACCTGACAGCGCCTCTTTCAGCCGTTCCTGTGGACTCAGAGGGGTTTCGCCTGATATTGAAATACAGACAAAATAAACAAAACATTTTTCAAATTAAGTTCAAAACTAATCGATTACCAGTGCGGGGGTCGGCGCCCATTCCAGCGATTAAACCGACCACTTGATGCAAATGTTCAGACGTCATAGTCATGCCGGGCATTAGGCCGCACAGGGATCCCAATTCGGACAACTGTTGTGCGATTATAATACAACTGAAGACCAATTTTTAGATTATAGTTAAAGTATTTGATACATACCTTATTCCTGGCGTAAGACCAGAGGCCAACTGTATGTCTGGAATAGGACTCCATTTGGGAGGAATCGCTATAACGCTCGCATTTGTGCAGTATTTCTAAAGCGCTTAAAAACACCCAACAGGCCATACCTCCCGGTGTCATCGTTATCTACACCATATTATAACACTAAGATATAAAATGTCAAAACAAATGCATTCATTCATACCTCTAATATATTCAACTCATTGACACAGTTCTGTAGGAACGGTAGGGCCCGGGAGGCCAACTCCCACGGCTTGTTCAACAACAGCAACAGCTCCGACTGTCTGGCGAACAGATAATTCCGTAACTCAATGAGCGTTGTATTAGTGGCCACACCATCGCCAGCGAAGAACTGTTTGCGCAAACTCTTGGACACATTGGACGACAGGCAGATTCCAAAGAGTATTAGTATTGAGACTCAAAATTATAGCCGTACTCAAGACATCTCATCCACTTTGAAGTACAGATACTATTATTTTTGGCATTATTTCTGTAACACATTCTTTCGGGAGTTTTTTACTGATAGACATCCGAAAGACAGGATTTAAACACACAGTAGACACTCGTTATAGTGAACACACAAAAATGACAAACTTTTCATTTATTCCGTATGGAAAAAGACATTAAGAGATAATAGGGTTTTTCCAACTGTTACACAACATCGCGATTATAATGTACACCTGTGTAATATCATCCTTGTTTTGTGTACATTATACAGAATAAGAGATCCTTGCTATTAATCTGTATTTGTAAACATTAAATATTCAACTAAACTAAAAATATTTAAGTAAATGTATAGAAGTCTATTAAATATCATTAAATGCTTATTAAGAGATATCATTTCTAATCAAAACATTTCGATTCGAGTAAAAAATAGATAATAAATTTGCCATGTTTTGCCAAATACTGATATTTTTCATAACAACTACACAGACTTAATGTGGAAATCAAACCTCACTTCTCGATCGCTAACAAAACATGAGTAAAAAACTTTTTGTTTCACATTTTTTGTTATTATTATGAAAAATACCAAAAGATTTATAAAAAGTAAATTCTCTTGTTATAAAAAATAATAATAAAACGTTAAAAATATATATTAATTTATAACAAAAATAGAAAAAAGTGTTATTTTCAAACAATTCGGAGAATAAGTAAATTTATTATTCAAAACACAAAAAACATTTTAAAACTTATTTCGTATTTAATACAGTATAATGAATAAAATGCCTGAGAGAGAGAGAGAGAGAGAGAGAGAGAGAGCTTGAAAAATGACTTTTGCAATCAATTTGACATTAATTTGCAATTTGAAGGTAACTCTTAATTGAAGGTAAAGTTTGAGAGAATTATTAATATAAA